TGCTCGGAGGCACTTCACTTTGCAAGCGCGGGCTTCCCGCCATCCCTTTTGACACCCAAACCCTTTCGGTCGCTTTGAAATCCCCAGTCTTGCCAAGCCAGGTGGCAGGAGCGGGGACACGTGGTGAGCTCCCGTCTGTAATTCAAAGCTCGCCATCCCAGCCCGGCTGGGTCCGGCTCAGCCCGTGACAATACACACTCCAGGACAGCCTCAATTACAGCCCCGAATCATGTTTGCAGACAGGTAAGGGTACGCCAGCCGGTAACCGAGTCCTCTGATGTGAGTGTATTTACAGGATACTTAGGTAATATTTACAATAGTTATTTTGCGGATGCTGAAACAGGATAGCCACGTCCCACGCCACCCTATCCGGGTGTCTCGGCGCTGCCGAGAGGCTCCCAGTACACGTGCTGGCTACCCAGAGCTGGGTCAGGTATCCGCACTGGGCATGGCCTCCCGCAAGCACTGCCTTCGGTAATTCTTGTGTTTGGCAAGCGAAAACACAAGGTGGCTTACTCAGAAGTATCACATGGCAGACAATACTTGGCAACTTCACCACAGACAAAAAAAAACCACCCACACTTGAAGGCAGTGCAGGAGCTTTCATTCAAGGCACATCTTGCTGCTCCGGTCTGTGATAGCCACATCTTTGACAAATATATTTAAAAGGAATTAGCAGTTGTGCTGAGAGAAAAAAAAAAATAAAATAAAATAAAATTCCCTTTTGCTCATAATAGCAGATGCCTGAGGATGTGTCGAGGCACCCAGCTCCCAACCTCTCCTACAAATATAGCTTATGGATCTCTAACGTCACACCCAAAGTGCAAAGGTTTCATGTGAATTTATGCATCGCTATTGAGGCGTAGCAGAAAAGAGCAGAGAAAATGAACAGCGTGTTTTACACATGGGTCGTACACAGAACTTCTGCGTGTAATAAAGTCTGAGGTTACACACTGTGAGCTGGATCGGTGTCCTGCTTTGAGGACTTTTCAGCCAAACCCTGTTTTAGCTAAAATACTTTTGGCAACATGAGACAGTTCTGCAGGTTTCGGTCAGCTCTGCTCACCCCCACCACGAGTTACATGACCCGGGTGGGTGGGCGCGGGGCAAAAGGATCCTTTTGTTTGAGGGAAAAATAAAACCCTTTGGTTTTTCAGCACACCTGAAAACTTTAAAAAGTAGGTCTCTGTCCTACGAGAAAGAATTCCCCAAGTCCCTGTGGTATTTCCCAACAGGCTGCAACCAAAAAAAAAAATAAATAATACAGTATTTACACAGCACTGCTGTCACCTTAATAAAACTTGAAGAAAAACCGCAGAATCCAAGTAATTTAGAAAAGGCAACCACACTGTAGTGCATTGTCAGTTAATAAAAGTATGCCTAAGTATGCATTTACTCAGGACAAGGTTATATTCAGAGTACCCTCTCAGCATGTTAATTTACTTTTATCAGCTCCCTTACTGACACAAAGAAGAAAGTTCCCAGCTATCCAAAAAGCCTTGAAACCTACGGTGGGAAATTTTTAATTCATTCTGGGGCTAGTGGAGCAAGTCTGTGACTATTTGCAGCCCAGGCCTTGCAGGTTTATCAGATTTCCAGTCCTGAGATGTACCTTTTAGACTGACAGTAAAAATAAATCAATGCTTTCTCACCAAGGCTGCAAGGGGAGAGTTCATTTGCATCCAGCAGCAGAAAGATGGAGACAGATCACCGGATCGAGGATTATTTCTCTCTGGGTGCTTCTTGTCACTTTTTTTTTTTGCTCCTTACCCTTAATTTTGTATGTGTTGCAGGACGCACCAGACTAAAAATAAAGCCTTGGGATGTTTCGCAGGAGGACTTGAAATCGGATCCCACAGTTGTGAGATTTATTCCAGGACTGAGAGACTCCTTGGGGCTGGTGGGATCAGAGCACGCCGTCAGGACCCGCTGCCTAATATTTAAATCCAGAGGTATTTATAGCCAACAGCACCCTCCGCTGTGTCATTACTCCGTGTTATCAGCCACAGCCCTAAATCACTTTGTACTTCACTTCCCGATTGAAGTGAAACATGCAGAGCTTGTCTAAGTACCGAAAAGCTGGATAGTCAAACAAGAGAGGATGGGATGGGATGGGATGGGATGGGATGGGATGGGATGGGATGGGATGGGAGAGGATGGGAGAGGATGGGATGGGAGAGGATGGGATGGGATGGGATGGGGAGAGGATGGGAAGAGGATGGGATGGGGAGAGGATGGGATGGGATAGGATCGAATGTTTCTGTTGGAAGGGACCTACAACGACCATCTAAGGCCAGCTGCCTGACCAGTTCAGGGCTGCCCAAGTTAAAGCACGTTATTAGGGGCATTGTCCAAATGCCTCTTCAACACTGACACGCTTGGGGCATTGACCACCTCTCCAGGAAGCCTGTTCCAGTGTTTGACCACCCTCTCGGTAAAGAAACACTCCTAATGTTCAATCTAATCCTCCCCTGACGCAGCTTTGAACCAGCTCCAGGTGTCCTGTCACTGGGTCCCAGGGAGAAGAGCTCAGCACCCCCCACACCCCCTCCTCAGGAAGCTGGAGAGAGCAACGAGGTGGCCCCTCGGCCTCCTCCTCTCCCAACCAGACAAGCCCAAAGTCCTCAGCCGCTCCTCCGAGGACATTCCTCCCAGCCCTGCCACCAGCTCTGTTGCCCTCTGGATGCATTCAGGGACCTTCACATCCTTCTCAAACTGCGGGGCCCGGAACGGCGCACAGTGCTCACGGTGAGGCTGCACCAATACTGTACACAGCGGGATTTTTTTAGTTTTTGAAGATAGCGCTATTTTTCTTTTACTTTACTCTAACTGTAATTAGGACAGGTTTTTGTAATAACAATCTTACATACTCTATAACTGACTTCAATTGATTTTTTTTTTTTTTTCTTAAGGCTTCTACTGAAATTCTGACTTGCCTTGGAAGAAACAAATTCATTTAAGGTACACAAAGGATCAGCATTTGTTGCAAAGCCTACGCTGTAGCCGTCTTCAATCCAAGCCCGGATAAAGTGCTGCTTTATCCCTCTTAGGCTCTCGTTTCTGCAAATACCGGGATCCGTGGCACTTCCCTGCGCTTCTCCTTCAAGCACCCCGTGGTGCAGCGCTGGTCATTCCAGCCGGAATGAAGGCGGGCGGGCAGGCAGCTCACCGCACGCCTTTCGAGTTGGATGTACGGGGCTGTGCAAGGTGGGCACCTGCTGCCTCTTTTTCTGTACAAGTGCTTTCTGCAGCTGCCTCCTGCCTGCAGCGCGGTGCCCAGGAATCCTCAAGTCAAATTAACTTTGCCCACAAGGCTCACCTTCCTCCGGCTCTTGTTATTAATGCACGCACCTTGTGGAGTGACGAGGAGCTTACAGCATCCATCTCCTTTATCTAACGATTATTTCCTGGAGAAAAACGCTTCATGAAATTCAGCTTCCCCAAACACTACCAACCTGACCCCCCGGGAGGTTTCCTCAGACCGGTGTCAGTAGGACAATACATCGTCCTCGCTACTGACTCCAGAGGAAAGGCAGCGGCTGTGTGGTCCCTCTCTGCCCGTACCCATCCGTAGGTATGTGGTAAGGAGGTGCTGGTGCATCCACAGCTAACTCTGACACGCAGGTCAAATATTTACCTCTTTTAGGGATGTTCTGGCCCAAAGTCCGAGCTCTGATCCCATGATGTGATGCCACCGAGGGACGTGTACCCAGGGGTACCAGAGCTGACATACACCTTCCATCCTCTCCTATGTGATGCTTTTCCTCACTCCCCGACACCACAGCCTTTTCGACTCCAAAGTGTTAAAAAACACGTGTTTTTAAGACGGACAGGCATTGAGGCAAGCTGTTACGGTGGCGGGAGGAGCAGAGAAGCACGTTTGAAGTGGTTTTACTAATAACACGCTGGACGTGTTTGAATCACCAGCAAGCTCGCAGCTCTCATTAGTTTCTTGATTGAGCTTGACCTATTACAGGGACAGCGAGACTGCTCGTCGTGCTAATGCCAGGGTGCCCCCAGCCACAGGAAACAAGAAGCCCTGGAGAAACCGGGCAGAGCTGGAGAGCGCAGAGGCACGGGCACGGGCTGTCCGCACAGCGCGAAGGAGAACCCCCCTGGCCGGCACACAGCGTGGCACACATCCCTGGCGCGCTCCTGGCCGTGCTGGGACAGCGCTCGGTGGGCCAGGAGCCCGTGAAACTTCATGATCCATCCCCAAAAAGGGGACAGAGGAACCAGAGGCTCTCTTTTTTTCTTTTTTTTTTTGTCCTGCAGAGGTGGCTAAACACATGGTACATCTTCCAAGGCAGCCGCTGATGGAAGGCTCCCATCTAGCTGCTGTCAACCTGCTCTCCCTGCAGGAAGAACTTTGCCAAAACAGGTATTATTTAAGGAAATTAAGCGTTCCAGGTAAGTGAGTCACCAGGCTCAGCAGCAAGAAATAGGAGAGCCATTAATCTCAGTACAGAGCCCTGCATGTGGCACGGGCAGACTGTCAGCCGCTCAACCCCGGGACACAGCTGGGTGATGGGAGCTGCGGCACGCTGCTGAGCCACGGCGTGTCACCAGGACCCCAAACGGTTTGTTCCTGTAATTAATCTCTTCCTCCGGTTACATTTCTCTTTTTCCACGGTAATGACTCTCTGTTTGTACCCGTCAAAATATTATTCCGCAGTCGCACGGCATATTTAAGCGGTGACACATGTCAAAGCTTAAGGAAAGCTTGCTGTTAATTAGAAACTTAATAAACTAAATTTACGATACACGCCGGCTGACAAGTCATAGGGATGATGTCCACTTTTTACTCTGCATTTAGTGGCACAGTGAATACCCCGCCTGGACACCGCAAGGGCTTGCACCGTTCGTCTTCTCCCTCTTACTTGCCCTGAGAGCTGAAGATGCTCCTCACCCCCACGCGTGGCATCACCCTGACCCGGACAGGACCGCCACCTCTGCCCGCCACAGGCAAGAGCTAGAAGGGAGCCCACATACCTCGGGACTGACGTTAGGTACGTTAAGACTTTAGACACGGTCTCCTCGGGCACCTCGTTGAAGCGAGCGTTGTCGGGGAGGGTGATAATCCAAGCCTTGTCCTTCCCTCGGCCACCTGGAACAAAGACAAGGATGCTGCCCTGGGCGCGCTTTGGAGGAGGGCCAGCAGCGAAGCCCGGGTCCACCAGTCAGGGCAGAAAACACGCTGCCGCCGTTATGGAGGGGTTATTTTTGGTTGTTTTTGGTTTTTTTTAACATCACCAGAATAGCAAAACCGGGTCAAATCCTGCCCCCGATTCCAAGCACAACACACACGCACAGGTGGTAGAAAAGAACGTATTAGGCACCGGGTATTTCCTTTATTTACTGAGCGTATTTTACATGGGACAGCAAAGGAAGTCGGAAATACAAGGACAAATCAGCATGCTGCTCTGGAACCTATAGAAATACATTTCAAAGCAAAACGCTTGTTAATGAGTTGAGTGTTTGAAGGGAAGAATATTTGAGAGTATGCCTTGAGACAGAAACCTAATATTTTTCCAAACTTCTTCCATGTTTTATTAACAACATTTCTAGTGGCATCGGAGACTACCTGATGGATAATATCCCGTGCAGAGTATCATTTTGCCAAACAGCGCGGAAGTTCATCTGGAGTATTTAATTACCGCCCAAAGAGAGAGAGACCCTGGAGAAGTTCACTGTACTCACCAGAAAGAAAAGCAAACTCTTTCATCAAATCGTCGCTGATGTCCTTTGCACAGATGGGTATTGCGGTTTCTGGAAAGAAAAGCAAAAGCAGCAGTGAAAAAGGAAGCAAAAATCCAAAGCAAACACGTTTATCAACCCAAAAGTGGGACTTGAACCAAATGCAGCTTCCCTAAAATACACATGAAATTTCCTAACAGAGGGTTCGCCTGGAAACCAATGACTCTAATGGGGAAAATGCCCTAAGTCAGTAGCAAATACATCCTACCTAACGTACTGAGGGAGAGCTGCCTGGGAGCTTGAGCGCCCTGCCCCCACCAGGGTATAGCCAATATTAATATTTATATTTTGGAGCTGCTAAATTTGCCCCCTTATTTTGCAGACCCCCCCAGTGCCTCCTTGCCTCGGCAATACAACGGGCCGAGGTTTCTGCTGGGAACGGCAGCGTCCAAGGCTGCCACGCTGGGAAGAAGGTTGGGTTTTCACACTGTTACAGTCTTTAATTTTGAGCAAATAAACTTCTGAAATCATGTTTTCATCTGGCGTGGGGCCACATGCACTGCAAAGGCTGTTGTTCTTATGTTCGGTTATTAGATTTCTTTTTAATTAAATAATGGGAGAGGCTGTTTTAATACCGTATTTAGCACGCCGACCATTTCAGTGGCAATGAAGCACATCGGAGCAATATACGTGACTTTACCTTTCCCTGGGAGAAGGAAACAAAACCCGGGCTGCCTAAACATGAGGGGAGCTTACAGCTGGTAGACATTTTTCTGGATTATCTGTAAATGGAACGATAGCTAAAAATTAAACATCCTTGTTCCCGCAAATAAATGTTTTAAAGCACATCCATACAGATTAAAGTCCTTGTGCTTTCACGATAATCAAATTTTAAACACTGATTATTTTACAGCAGTCGGTCCCAGGGAGTAATCTTGGGGCTGGTTTAAGTCACACGGGCTGCATACTTCAGCACACTCCAGCGTAATCAATATTTATTCTATTTCACTTTTCCCAAAAGCTCTCTGGTCACTCCTACTTTACCTAAGGATGTCTCGGGCCTCTAACGGCCGCGTGGAGCTGCGGCACAGCAGCCCAGAGGTGCCCGGGGGGACGGTACTGTGCCTCCCGTGGTCCCCACCGCCCACCGGCTCCTCTCTGCTCTCCCGCGCACGCGCTCCTATTTTCTCCTCTTGGAGATAAAAACGTTATTTTGGTTTGTTAAGGATGGAGCCTGAGCCCCACTGGCATCTACAGAAACATTCTTCATTTTAACAGGCCCCAGAATTGGCCTTGGTAAGGAAGAAGTTTGTCTTGCGAGATATTTCAAATATTTCTCTCTCATTCAACTGCTTCACCCAACCTGAGGACAAGCAGAGGCAACAGATTTCTTCCCTATGAATCAAATTTTTATTTCCCAGCTTAATAGTTTCATACTGATAAAAATCCCATTTAATAACTTAACGAGCTCCAACTCATGAAGCGGATGACATTAAACACGCGGGTCTTTGAAAATACAAAACAACCCCCCCCCGGCCGCGCACGCTGTGGGGCTCTTCTCGGCCGCATCGGCAGCGGGGGCGAAGCCCGTCCCCACCGCCAGCTCACCTCACCTCCCCCTGCTGCCCTCTCGCCCCGAAAACGCAGCCAGTGGCAAGCCAGGCAAAGCTTCGCCCTGCGCCAGAACGCCAGCGCTCGGCAGGAAAAGCAATCGCGGCTCCGGGTTGCAGTAAATGCAGCTTTTGTTTCTGGCTCCGCAGGGATACGGGAGGGAAATGCCGGTGTATTGACAGCCCTCCAGGGAACAGGCTGGGGAAAGGGGGTTAACCTTGGCACGGTAAAAAAAAAATTTAAAAGAATTTTAAAAATCACTTAATTTCTAAGTTTTTTTGCAAGACATTTTCTCACTGAGGACAACCTATCTATCTGCGGCCTTAAACTAAGCTGGAGACTACCACGGTTGGAAAAAAAGTAGCGTTTTTCCACAGGTATTTTCAAACTTTCTTTTCCAGAAAAGAAATACCGTCTCAAAAATGCGTCCTTTAACCCCAGAGTCTGGTGCTTATTCTCTCAAGTCTCTCTTAGCCGCAATTTCCCACTGATCCTCACAGCAACCGCAAAAACCAGCAGATGTTTTAATCCTACCCGTGCTGGGAGGGGGGGGGGGAGCGCAGGGGGCCCCCCTGAGCCGCGTCCCCTGCCAACGCGGGCGCAGGCCACCCCTGTCCCACGCAGCCCACCAGCTCAGCAAGAGCCATCAGGGCCACCCACGGCCGCAGGTGGACCTGGCATTTCTGGGTTGGAGGCGCAAAGCACCCCAGGACGGGGGTTCCCACCACGCTCGAGGAGGGACCCACTTTGGGGCTCCTGGTTTCCAGCCAGGACCTTGCTCCCCAACATTTTATTCCATGGAAGGTTTCGTCCTTGACTTTGGCACAGGGGTGGAGAGCCATATTCCTAAGCACCGTTATGACTCCAAGATTCTCACCTCCCAAGGGATGACATTTTTGGGAGAGGACATTCAGCACCTTGAGAAAATCAGGCCCTTCCGAGCAGTCCTGAGTTGAGCACCCAAAATAACTCATCAGAGGAAAAACTAGGCGGGAGTAATTTACTTCAGGCAGTGAAGGCTCGGTGAGGATTTCCCTTACAAATCCTCTCCATCTCCCACGGGGTAGGAGAACCCAACGAGGGACGGAGGAGGAGGACGGCTGCCCTCTGGTAAGGTCAAGGCACAACAACAGGCTGATTGTGGTCCCGTTAGAGCCGCTCTTTGGCCAACCCATCGCTCGCTCTGCATTGGCCATCGAACTCAACCTCCCGGGCCAATCCTAGGGAAAATCAAGCGCTGGCATGGAATTCACAAGCTTATTGCTGTGCCCGCGGCACATCAGTTGGATGTTGCTGTAAATCCTGTACCGAAACATGACCTTTGTCCTCAGTGTTAATCTCTGGGAAAAAAAAAAAAGCAGTGAAAGGCAGTGGGGCACCAAAGATATCCACCTCTCAAACAAGGCTTCGGTTGATATTCATTACCAAACTGGGGGTTTCTTATTTGAAGGACACTCTTGGGACAGTACAGAATAGATCCCGGGGTACTGCCCGGCACGGGCGATGCACGGCACAGCCTGCATCTCGCTCGGCACGAGGCGGAGGAAGTCAAGGTTTCACGCAAGTCCACTCGTTTCTCTTACAAAGAGGCTTTGTGATCATCAGCTTACTAGAGCTGTGCTGTTACAAAATCAAGCCTGAACCCCTCGTCTTACAGCAGCCCAGAGCCCTTTACAAACTACACCGCTATCCCCACACAGTTGGTATGACCTCAGGCTTCAGGGTCTCGCTAAAAACAAGCAGCATCCGGATGATAAATTGTCATAACAGTGTAGTAACATTTTATTTTTTTTTTATATCGGCTCTAAACTGGGTATTTATAAAATGCTGCTGCAATTGTTACATTCAGAGACTCCTCTACGGAGGAGATCGTTGCCATGACAGAGAGCTTCGGAGGATGCGTGAAGCCAAGCGGGGAAAAGACAAAGGGGAAATACAGAGTCTCTACGCTTCCAAGAAAAACTAACGTGGCTCAGCAGGGAGCCCTGCTGCATCCAGCCTGTCCCCATCATTTGGCTTGCACAGCCCAGAACATTTTGCTGGGTCCTCTCCATAGGACCGTATCTCAAGGCCATCGCACCAACTGGGGTTGTAAGAGTGATGCTCATTGTTAGAGATGTTCCCTTTCGAGGCGATTCAAGCACAGCGGGTCTTTCATGCGCAGTGGAGGTCTGCAGTGACATTCAGCGAGGGGACAGCTACAGCCCGAGTCCAAATTCCTCTTGTAAAACTCAATTAAACTCTGAAGTGCTTTGCTCTTCGGTAACTATTGTTTTCTTTTCTTTCTGAAACTTCGCAGGCCCGCAGCATCTGCAGACAGCAGCTGTGTAACGCATCTGCCAAGCTGATGTAACAACGCCTTACGCCTCATAACACTGACCAAATATTGCTTGCAACTATAAAATCCATTTGGAGATGGCTTTGTTGTGAATGAAGAATAGCAGCTTCTCAGGCGAGGGCTGCTGCCGTAGTCTAGGAAACAAAACTGAAGTAAATCAAATGAAAAGGGTAAATGATCACGTTGAGCTTCTCCATGAGCTGCTTGTCCTCAGCTGCTTGTCCATTTGGACATCTACATCCAAGGAAGCCGTGTCAAGGCAGTCTGCGAATCAGCACATTTGTAACCTACTTCCATTTCCCTGGGTGACTTTCTGGGCTAACCGGGGTCATCAGCCAGCGTCTGTCTCGGGTCGTCCCACCGCAGGAAGGTCCACCTGCCTCAAAAGTCCCTTTGAGGGTAACAACACCCGTAAGGCAGACCTACGCAAACCAACAACGTCTGCAGGAAGGTGCGATGCTCGGGGAGCTTCGATGTGCGTGACTTGTCCTGACTGTCCACGCCAGCGCCAGGGTGAGCGTGAAGGTTGAGCCATCCCCGTCCCATCTGCTGTGTGCCGGAGAGGGGACAGAAATCCCTTAGAGCAGAGCGCCCCAACCACGAAGCCAGCTTCTCCGGCTGAAGTGGCTCTGCTTTGCAAAATTAAATGTTCATCGGGGCAGAGAATAGAAACACAGTCCTGTACCTGAGGAGAAAGACCAACGCACCGCCCTGCCGCTGGTCCCCCTAACCCAGCCCGGACTGCTGTACCCACTCAACAGGAGGGACCCCGCAGCCCATCGCTCTGGGCGCTCTCTTTGGATCAGGGGAACCATTTCACCAGAAATTTAATTATCTGCAAAAAGCCGAAGAGCTCCTCCAGGAAGAGTGACAGAAATCCACCCCACCGCAGCTGGCCGCAGGACACCCGAGTGTCCCTCACCCCGGTGCGCGTCCCGGCCGCCGAGCCTCACCCAGCTTTCTCCCTGAGCAATTTCAAAGGACTTTGGATTCAATCCAGCACACAAGAAGAAACGTCGCCATTCGCCCTAGCGGCACACCCTGTCCAGAAAGCAAGACAGAGGGAGTTATTAGAGGGGAAAAAAAAAAAAAAACAATAAAAATACTGT